AGCCTTGACTGCTGACTTCACCCACATCAGCTTCCCAATATGATGGTGGTAATTCACTGCCAGCTCTGGGAGCCATGCTCTCTGCTGACTGTGGGAGACAGTGGGTCCGTGTCTCTATCCAGCAGTAGCATGTAGCCCAGAAACTTCTTTTTCTAATACTAGTAAAAGCTAAATCTACCATGCATTGCACTGCTCAGCTTGGAGACACCACTGTGTACTGCAGCTGGAACCCACCATACTGCAGGTCCAGCCCACATGCAGCTGCAAGCACACCACACTGTGGCTCGTAGCTTGCCTGGGACACAACTAGGAAGCTGTTTTTAGTTCCATTTTAGAACCTCTTATTAAGTTCTCTCAGGCTTTATTTAAGTGGAAACACTTGCCACCATGTCTGAGCACACCATTTGTAGCTGAAAGATTTTCTTTGTACCCACCTGGCCTGTGTCAGGACAAATCTCTCTCACCCGCCAGATATGCAGCTATTTGGACCCAAATAAACACACACAGGCTAATATTATTTTAAAACTATGGCCATGGCAGGCTTCTTATTATCTAGTTTTTATATCTTACATTAACCCATTTCTATAAATCCATATATTGCCATGTGCCTAGTGGCTTTCCAGTAGCTTTACATCTTGCTTCTTCTGGCAGTGGCTAGCAGCCTCTCCTCCACTCTCTTTTCTTCTCTCCTATCTCTACAGTTAGAATTATTGGCCTAAACTTATTCTGCCAAACCTTTGGCCTAACAGCTTTATTTATCAACCAATCAGAGCAACACATATTCACAGCATACAGAATGACATTCCACAGCGTTTCTTCTTTAACGTACTATGTTATTGTGAAAGGAAAAATAAATTTCCAGTCCCTTAAGCTAGTGAACACATTTCCAATTATGAAGCACAGTAAAAGTTAATATTTTGACACTGTACTTTATGATTGAATGCTCTGGCTACCCACATGTCACTGAAGACTCTTAGAGTGAAAAATCAATGCTCATAACAGACCTTCAGATTTTTAACAGTTTAATCAAAATATAATTGTTTAATTTTCCTCTTTTTCTCCTTCCTCTTAAATTTTTAAGCTACATCTCCACTCACTTTCAAATTTAGGACATCTTCTTTAACCAATTTATTACATACACAAATAAATAATCATAAATACAACCTGCTGAGTCTGCTCATTTTTCCAACTTATACTGGTTTCTGGGTTGGAATTTAGTATTGGATAAACAATTAGGCATTCATTCCTTGGGAA